TTCGCTTTGCATGTAATTAAAAACATAAAGAAACAACAAATACTACGGTTTTAATGAGACTTGAGTGAGAATAATTAATCAGTTTTCGATAATTGCTTATCGTTACAAGGTTAATCAATAACGACCAATTTTAATAAAACGAATGGGTAGTTAGTAATCGTTAAAAATTAACTATTATATTGGAAACAATTTAGATAGAAAACTTGTTTTATTTTAAACATACTCTAGCTACTTTTTTCGGGGTGTTATAATATCAAGTGTTTGCCTTAAAAGCCAGCATCAGATCCAAGAGCACTGAACCTTAGCTCTCCTAAGGTGAACAATAATTAATTTAATTTAAACCTGTTTCAGTAGAAATTAGTCATTGAACCTTAGATCCGTTCTTGATTAAAAACTGGCCCAAAGGTTAGAGTTTACAAGCTCGTTGAATGCTACAAAAAAAACCCATTTGAATGCTTTCAAACCGGACTGTTACCTTTAATTCATTTAGACATGTTTATGTAAGTTATAGAGAAGTAAAACGGGCACGTGTGAGGATAAGTTATATAAAAACCTAAGTTATGAGCATTTATTGGCGTTTCATAACGACAGTTATGTAGTTAGTTCTCTAAAGCGACCAATCTATTTCAGAATATTTTTCACGCACTGCTTTAACTTTTTACCTGCTTTGCCAACGGGTTTCTAAAGAGTTTCTAAATAGTTTCATAAAGTTATCTGGCGATCTTCGGAGCTGGTCTAGTTCCCCTTGTATCCACCCTCAACCTCATCAATCATTCGATCTGGCCCCATATCACGTAGAGCTAGGAAGACGAAAAAAAGTGGGTAAAAACAGAAGACGAACAAGAAGAGAGGAAGAACGAAGAAATATTTTGTTGTGTGTACTCAACTTTAAGTGGCACTTCAACTTCGTGTACGGCGTCCAACTCTTCGGAGAGGTGTTTTATTTTTTTTTTTCTTATTTTTCTGCCGTGAGCAGGGGAGTCGGGGCTTTTCTTATTTTTGGAACAAACATAAACAACGGCGAGCAAGAAAAACCAGTTCTATGGGGCGAAGGCTAGAACATGTTGCACGTCGTACCGCCAAGCAGGTTGCCTTTGCCTCGCAGCCTCTCCCCCATTCGCATTTGGAGCATTGAGTGCAGCAGCCCATACACAAAAAGCTATTTCGGGGCACACTCTTCGGCACATAGGTGTGTATATACATATGTGGCTATTTCGTATTTATATTGTATTTATTTATTCCATTTACAGGGGACAGCACACACCTCCTCGTACTCCCTCCCTTCGCTCGGAACCCAAAAAACTCACACCCCTCGAATGACACATTTCCAGGGTCGAGCCCCGTCAGTCAGGAAGTTTGACGAAAACAACAGAAAACGAACAGGAATATCCAGCTCACAATGCACTGCACAAAAAACGAAGACCAAAAATGGAGTGTTAGGCAAATTACCTTATAAGCGTGGGATTTAAAAAAAATAAACGGAACTTTTCAGATCCAGTTTTTAACAATTCAAAGAATATCGTAAAAAAAATAAATAAATAATTTAAATTTATTATTGTATTTCAGCTTATAGAAGGCATCTGACTTTATTCATAACGAAATGCCAAATACAAATAAACTTTGAAATTTCACTAAATTTGGCTATTTTTAAGTTCAGTCAATATGATGATAATTTAAGGGTTCATTTCTTCCTGTGCAGAGGGTCGAGCCTTCCCAATTGGTGTGATTGAACGCTTTCAAGGATAATTGTCAACAGCAGCAGTTGCAGAAGAAGGAAGCCGAAAAGCGCGGAGCAAAAACAAAGCCAACGGAATGGAATGGCTCTTTGTTCCCTCCTCCGACGATCAGCATAATAATAATTTCAATAAGCAAAGTGCGTTCGTTGGTAGGCGTTGCTGGGGGCAGAATCGGCATAAAAGAAAGAGAGGGGCATACAGGGGGAGAAAGAGACAGGGCGAACTGCTCCGGCAAGTGACAATCGCGGAAGTGAACTGCCGCTGACGACGTGATTTCAGCTGTTAAAATTCACCGTCGTTATTAACGTGTTCAACAGCAACGTGGCCCAAATGCAAAAACAACACTCGCATAAAATGGTTAAAAATACTTGCTACGCATTTGGAGCAGTCATCGGGTGGTGAGAGCACAAAACACACAAATAATAACAAACGGCGAGTGTCTGAGCCGATAAGATAAGACTGCCAAAGGAAATGAATCAAGCGTGGGGAAAATGTGAAAAGCAAAGCAAAGAAAAACCAACCGAGGGCTAGATTAATTATATAATTATCATTAAGCATACTTTACATTCGCCCTACAGATCTTCATAACGAGAGAACTTCCAGATTATTTATAAATACCACAGATTATATTATTTTGAGTTTATTTTCGGACCTGACCCTATGACTTTTCCAGAATAAATCAATAATAGATTGATAAGGTGAATAAATATTTAAAAAGTTTTTTAAATTTGTTTATTTTAACTTTGAAAGGCTCCGTTTCCACAGAATTGCTTCTCATTATAATTTAATTTTAATTTATACGACCTTCGACTAATCCAATTGTCGTGTCAACAAGAAGTTTTCTAATTGCTCCGACATAAATTTCAGTTTATTACCGTTTTGTGCAGAAAGTATAGTTTTTCTAAGGGGCATTATTCCAGCTGATTTACATTCCCCTCGACTGAACCAATTTCCATGTCACGTATGTATAATTTTCTGAAATGCCAGGCCCAAGTACATACGAAAAATATGGCTGTGCTAAACTTAGAATCAAACACACACTGATGGGACCTGCACAGCCGTACTAAATAATAAACACCCACGAGCTGCAGTATAAAACAATGCAAAACTGGGGGCCAAGCGAGGCTTCAATGCAACAGCGCCAATTGCAGCCAGTTTCTGTTGCTTTTGCTGTTCGCCGCTGTTGTTTCCACTTAATTTCTGCCTCTATTTCCACTCTATGGTGTGTGCCAATGTCAAGCTGCCCCTTTGGCTGGATATGGATGCCGAAGCTTAAGCCCGAGCCCAAGAACTTTGGTTATGCAAAGAGTGCCCCGCGAGTCTTGCAGTCGCAAGCAAAAGTTGCGGATCCGATACGCCCACCAACACGCCCCAGCCAAACATATGTATTTGTTATTGTCTTGCGCCGAATCTAGACACTTGGCTAGTTTTTAGCTAAAAATCAAGAAATTTAATCACTGATGTAATCAAATGTCTTTTTAATAAACTTTTATTTTGAATTTTCTAAATGATGTTGATTTGGTTCCTAGTTTTAAAACAAAAAGCTTGTAATATCACATAATAACTTTATTAAATAACATGATTTTTAAGAAAATGTACATTTCCTGACAAAATACTGAATATTTGTCTGTATTTTAACCACTTTAATCGTTTATTTTAGAATGTGTGTATTTTATTTTAATTTTCTGAATGTTTTTTAGATCAATCAAGGTATCTTAATTAAATAATCTTCCCATGCCTACTCAAAAAACCACTTTTTAAAATATTAAAAATGTATAGAAATGTGACTTTTTGAATAAAATTTAACTTATAGGTGTAGGAAGGTTTAGATAACAAATGGTCTTCAGAATCAATAAGTTTCAAAACTTCCTAAGTGTATAATTTCGATACTAACCCCCTAGTTTCCCCCAAATCTAGCTTTTTTCTGGCCAGATTTAAGTGTGGAGCCCAACAACACCGCTGGAACACATGCGCGTGTACGGCTTAGCGAGCTGAGGGTGTGTGTGTGTGGTGGTGGCGGGAGAGTGTGTGTGCGAGCGAGAGAATTTTATTGATTAGTCACAAGGCTAAATAAGCTGCCGAGTTTATTGAGCAGCTGAGATTTCTAACAACAATCACAATAAGAATCTCGCAACTTTCCAATTGGACAGACAGACAAGTGCAGGTGGAATCCAATATCAAAATCAAAACTCACCTTCAATTGCGCCAAATTGTTGTCCCTCGCCGCGTTAAAAACAATGAATTTGTAGTCCATTTTGTGAGTCAATTAGTTGGCATAAATGCCGCAGAAGCTCGCTCGCTGAAAATAATTATTTTCCTTATTGTTTGGCGGCGAAAAGAGATTATTTGGTTTTGTTGTTTCGCTTTGCTTCTTTCTCCGCCTTCGTCAAGAGAAAGAGAAGAGAGAGGATAGAGAGCGAGCGAGATTCTTGAGGATGCTGCTGTTGTTGTTGTTGTTGTTGTTTTTCTGTGTTTTTTCTAGTAATTTATTTTGATGTGTGGTCGTCGATTTTCTGCACAAAAGAAGAACTTTCCAACCGAGCGAATATATAATATGTAACGATTGCGTTTTCGTCGTACTTTTTTAATGCTTCCGTGTCTTCCTGGCAATCGTCGTATTACATATGTATATCTTTTTGCGCACTTTTCATTCCCCCTTTCGTTTCGTGTGTTGCGTTTTGGGCCTCGGAAGACGAAAATTTCTTTCTTTTGCTGCGTTTTTGATTCCGGGTCGTTATTTCTTTAATTCTTGCTCTCTAAGGCGGTTACTAGAGCTCTAAACGGGCACTTTTCCGATGCGTTGCGATTCCACACTTTCAGCACAAACTCAAATCCCTTCCCGAGTTTTTCGAAAACTCGTCCGACAGCCAGGAAAGCAGATCGATGGGTCTGTGAAACACTTTGAAATCGCACACGAGGAGGCGCGCTGTTTGAACCGTCCCGCCCGCGATTGGAAAATAAAATGCCTTTTCCTCGAGCGATGGAGCGGTGAATTTTTTCTCTCTGGTTGCGCTTGGGATTTGTTCGAGGTATTTAGGTTCAGCCCCGGCGCGGTCGCACTAGCGCAGTATATTTCTAGAATGCGGTCGCACCTTTTTATCGATATTTCTAACCAGAACTAAAAATACGGCCCAGGTGGCAACTCTCTTACGCCTCTTATTTATTCCCAAACCATGTTCGAGTCTCGACTTGGGATTGTATCCCCGCTAAATAACCGCAAAAAAACAGAAATTTAAACGAAATTTAAAGCCTTTTGATCGTGAATATCTTTATTTTACTTTGGTTTATTTATTGAATTTATTCCATACAATTTCATATGCATTTCGAATTTGTTCTCATTAAATCATAAACAGTTACATTGTTTTACATTGTACATTTGATTATGCTTTACTTAATGCGTATTATTAATTTAGTTCATATTTGTATAATTCTTGTATGTATATATCATATGGTTATGTTTGTTATGCATATGTGTGTGTGCTTGCTTCAACAGAATATTTCAAACAAAATGAAAACAATTATCGATTAGTTATATTTGAATTGCCTTCCTTGATTACGGTTTAATCATATTGTATTCAATAATATAATTAGTTAAAGCTACAACTTAGTGCGCATTCTTGTACTTCGCCAACAACTACAACAAAAGGTATGACACATAAACAATAACAAAAAAGTTGATCGTTTTCTAACAACAACGAACATATAAAATAATCGCGTTAAAACATTTGCTGTTAAACAAAGAAAATGTAAAAGTTAATTATTTTTTTTGCTTTTACTTTTTCCACTTTTTATATCACAAGTTAAAATTTTGATTATTGTTTGGTCAATTTTATTATAATAGTTATATATAGTACTTGTATATTTATGGTATTAGGTATGTGTGTTAATTATGTACATAAGAAAATATACTAATAGCATAATTTAATAAACATATTTCCGTTAGGTTCTCATATAAATTGGTCTAGATAATCAAGTCATGGTGTTTCCTTTAAATTGGTTTCATGTTTTTCGGGTGAGGGATTGGTTCGGGCTGGTATACAGAGCAGTACTAACGATTCGAGAGTGATATATGTATAAGTATAGTTAAAAATAGTTGATTTTTAGGAGATTACATAGAAATTCGAGTTAGTTGCATGCGTTAAGTTGAGAGAGTTTTTGTTTTTTAGAGTAATTAATCGTTTTTTTTTTTTGTATTTAAGATATATTTTTTCTAGCGTTTGTAGCGATGTGGTGGTGTATGCTTAAGGGTTGTGGATATATTATTCGATATGGTACATAGGCATTACTTATTAAATTGAGCTAACAAAATGAAAACCCCTTGAATTAATTGTAGAAATTCGGAAAAAAAAAGAAAGATACAAATTGATATGTCATAACTTTCTGAAAAGTAGGTTTTTCTAAAACAGGCAAAAAACATGAACTTTAAGATATGTAGCTAACTTTCGCCCCTAAACTTTGCGATATGTATTTTGTCCAACTATATCCCCAACTATATCCCTAAACACACAACACACCACACCATCCACAAACCCCGTCGTTTTGAGCTTCCACATTCCAGTTTCGATATTAGTCGCATGTGGGGATCAAGCCATCAGACCATCGACTCCCTGACGCGGCCCCTTACCTGTAAATTAGTTTCGAAAGACGATGTATTTTAGGATACATATGCGATATATATATATAGGGTACAGCACATCTAGACGTAGGTGGTGCAGGGGGATTTACACATGGACAGACGGGCGACACTTTCGTTCCTGTCCTCTCCACTTCCGCCGGCTGCTCCGATCTCCGTGGGTTATGGGGAGAAGACGCGCAGGGATCGCAGCAGAGTGGCCAGGACATTGGCCAGGCACTCGGCCTGCAGCGCCAACTGACCGGCGCCAATGGGTCCGATCTCCACGCCCACCAGCTCCCTGAAACTGCTGGCCACATCGTGCACTTTGAGCACTATATTCCTCGTTTGCAGCGGGGCCGAAGTGTGCCTGGTCATGTCCTGGGCCAGCTCGGTGATCCTGCGGATGGCCGTCAGGCAGGAGGTCAAATGCTCCGGCAGCGTAATCAGTGTCATGTCCGACATGGAGGCCACCAGGAACTTGCTTGCGGTGACCAAAGCCAAAGTCTGTTCGGTGAGTTCGTTGCGTGCTCGCTGGAACTTCTCCTCGTCGATGGAGGTTCCTCCTCCGGCCGCCTGGGCCACCGAACACTGGGCCGCCACCTGGTCCAGTTTGATCAGAAGACCCGCCATGGCCACATCCGTTTTGGCCAACAGCGCCTCGCCGTCGATGAGGTGACCGTTCTTCAGGAACAGCTTCTCGCCATGCAGCTGCTGCGGTTTCTTGGGGAGCAGGGGAAGGGTTCCATTCTGGTTGGGATTCTGGTTCGGATTCTGGCTCTGATTCAAGTGGGGCAGACGGACGGTGGCCGGTATGGGTGGTGAGTAGTGGTGGGCAGGTGGTGGTGCAGCAGTTCCATTGGAAGGACGCGAGGGGCGGCTGGCGATGGGCGGCAGCGGGGGTTTCTTGGGGCCACCACTCACCAGGTTCGATGGAGGATTGCTCTGCCCAGCTCCATCTAAAGTGGGACTTCCCCGCGGCGGCAGTTGCGGGGGATTCCTCTCCAGCTGCAGCTGCTGCTGCATCACTGGGCTGGCGGCCATCCTCACCTGCTTCTTGGGCGAGTAACGCTGCAGCAGCTCGGCACTTTTCGGTGGTCTCGCCGGCGGCGGTGAGAGCTGCTCGCAAGTGGGCGTTCTGGGAGGCGGCTGCAGATCCTCCTCCTCCGGCTGCTCCTCTTTCTTGCTCGTTGGACAGCAGCTGAACTTGCTCTTCCGCTCCACGGTGGCGTATTCAATGACATGGGGTGCACTAGCGGTGGACTGGCCATTGGCCACCGACTGGAAGAACTCCCGCTTGGCCTGAACGGAGTTGCTGTAGAGGGACTCCGTTTCCATCGGTTGCGCCACCTGCTGTTGCTCCAAATTCGGAGGTGGCGGTATGATGAACGACATGATCTCCTCGGGCGTCAGCTCCTTGGCGGGCGTGGCCTTCTGCGTGGGCGGAGCCACCATTATTTGCTGCAGGAAACTATCCAGCTCTTCGGCTCTTCCCTCGAAACCCTTTGGAGGAGCGGCGTTCATCAGGGATAGGGAATCCAGTTCATCGGGCGTTTGAGGCGGTGGAATGGCACGCAGATCTATGAGATCCGTGTCGGTTTCAATGAAGGTATCTTCCCGCACCTCGAAGCCATAGATCTCGGAAAGCTGGCGGGCAGCCACATCAGTGTCCGCTGCTGCCGCATTGCTGATCTCCTTGAGCTGTTGAAGATACTCCCTTAGGTTGTAGTCCTTCGTCTCGGCCCCGAAATGCGTGCCATCGGGACTGTGGAGGCCAAAGCTGCTCCGCTGGGAGAGCTGCTGTTTGGCAGGTGCCGCAGTTCCCGCCGCCTGGAGCAGCATCATCTGCGGTCGCCTGGCTGTTGGCGATTGAGCGGGTGAAGCCACCGATTCCGAGTCACTTTCGCTCTGGGAGAAATCAGTGCCCAGGGCCTGCAGGTCGCTCAGAAGCTGACTGAAACCATTCAGTTTCCTCTGCGGACGCGGACTGGAGGTGCTGCACAGACTGGGTTTCCTCTTGGGAGTGGCGGGCGTAGCCGGCGCAGATGTGGAAACGGGTGCAGTTTCTGGAATGGCGTTCAATCCCTGGGTTATGCCGCTCAGCTCGTGGTTAATTGTCTCGGCCAGGAGCGTCAGGGAATCGCTGTGCTTGAGCGGATGTCCCGGGGGAATGGACATTCCCACTCCACCCTGCGACTCCTCCGTCGAGGAAACCTTGCTGCTGTTGAGACTATCGCAATCCGAGTCGAATTCGAGGACAGCCACTCCTCCTGCGCCACCCTGCTCCTGCTCACTGAGATATTGCTCGGAGGTTTGGACCAAATGCTGCAGCTCCTGAACCCTTCGCAGAACCTGCTCGTTCTTGGCCTCCAGCTGGTGGCTGCCCGAGTGACTGCGTCCCTCGGCGTAATTGCTGCCACTGCTGTCGCTCAGCCCCGAATCCTTGGCGGCCTCCTCCAGCAGCTCGGTGGCCATCACACTGTGCAGATCGAGGTCCATGGCGTAGGGCAGCGAGGCAGGTGCCGCCGCCTGACTGACCGACGTCTGCTGCTGGAGCTGCGGCCGCTGGACCAGCGGATGGTAGGGCGGCGCCATCAGGAAGTTGACGCTGTGCGCCCGCGTGTGGAAGGGCATCAGGTAGCTCCAACCCGCCGGGAGCACTGTGTGTTGGCTAAGGAAACCGGGCGAGTTGTCCTCGTCGTTGGGTTCCCGTTCACGCAGAACATTTAGCATGTTACCTGTGGGGAATAGTATAGTTCAAATGATGTTTCTTAACCAAAAAGAAACCCTTGAGTAACTCACCCGTCAGCAATCGATAGTAGCCACCCAGGACCAGACTAAATTCGCAGCCATCGCGATCCTCCATGATGAACTTCACCGCCCGATCGCCGAGCATGAAGATGGATACGCTGCAGGTGACATCGTCCTCGCGATTCACCACCACATGGGTGAAGTCCTCGATGGCCGAAATGGGTTGGGGCTGCTTGAAGATTCAAAACCAGTTATAGGAGATTCAACGCACCCGTGATATTCCCGATAGACTCACCACCGAATTGCGGGCACTGGAGATCTGGCTCAGTCCGAAGCGCGGACTCACCAGCAGGACGCGCTCGACGCCCTCTCTTTGGTTTGTGCTGAAACATTTGGCTCCATAGCTGGGTAAGCTAGCGATTATATCTAGATAATGGAGTTTGGCCTGTAAACGAAAGAGATTTTGTATATATAATATAATATTTAAAATGATTTTTACAAGTTGGAGCTTGAAAAATATCGATATTTTCAATATTTCCACAATATCCTATCGATAATATCGATGTTTTTAGACAATTGTATAAGTATTATATCTAGATACGAGACAGAGATTTTTTAAATATAATATTTGTAATGATTTTTACAAGTTGGTCCTTGAAAAATATCGATATTTTCGATATTTCCACATTATCCTATCGATAATATCGATGTTTTTTTTAAATAATTGTATAAGTATTTTTATAATAAAACATCAAAAAAACCAGGACCGTTACAGTTATAAGTTTTACTTTAAAAAACATCGATGTTTCCGATAAACACCGGTGCTAATTTCGATATTTTTCAAACTCTACTCTGAATGTCCTCAGGACAGTGCACTAATGTGTTATTTTTTCCCTTTTTGTTTATACTTTAAGCTCTCTTAGCAACCTTTAACCCACCTGCAGCTGTGTGAGGACCTTGCTGGAGGATCCCGTCATCTCCGCGTTGAGCTTCAGGAAGTGTGAAATCAGCCGGCGCAGCTCCTTCCGCTTCATGCCCTCAAACAGGCTGACTGGGACAAAGCGCTCCAGCCCGAACTCGCGTCTGAAAGGAGTCATATTAAATATATTTTATTTACATAGAAAGACGGTATCCCAGGGACTCTGCTTACTCGACCAGTTTAACAGTGAGCTTGGCGGGCGCAAAGTTGTTGGCCAGGGCGTGCTGGTGCATGTGGAGGGCGGCCAATCGGAGGGCCAATTCCGGCTGCAGCTCGGGGGCGAATCTCTCCTGGTTGACGTCGTTGCAGCACTGCAAGTACAGGTAGTCCAGGGCGTGCAGATCCCGCTGCGCCAGTTCCGCGGCCGAAATGGGCACGAAGGTGATGCGGAAGAGGCACCTCAGCTTGTGCGCCCCCGGACGAGCGGCAATCTGCGGGCGATAATCAGGCGGAAATTCAAAAATAAATTAAATGTTTCCTCCTTTTTAGCGGGAAACTGTATATTGGGTTATGCTCTCACCCTGGCCAGCGACTCCTGGGGATCCAGCAGGGTGAGCTTGTTGCGCTTGAGGCTCTTCACGTGCTCCAGCACCAAGCTGAAGAGCTCGCCGCAGCAGAGGCAGAGCTTGTCCAGCAGCGAGCTGACCACATCCTGCACCGTGGTGGTGGCGTCGTACTTGAAGGACTTGGTCTGCCCGTTCTCGAGGAACACCTTCAGCACGTTGGCCATCGGCGGCACACAGATGTCGCCCAGGGAAAAGGCCGAGGGCTAAAAATAATCAAATGAAAATAAGCACAAATTACTAATGAAATATTTTTCGAAATTAAATAACTTTAACAAGAGAGAACGCTATAGTCGGGTTGTTGTCCCGACTATCTAATACCCGTCACTCAGCTAAAGGGAGTGCGAACGCTGTGTCGGGTTGGTGTCCCGACTAATAATCGTAACTCAGCTAAAGGGAGTGCGAGGGAGATAGATATATAATTTTTGATTGCGTATAACTTTTTAATGAATGGTCCGATTTGAAAAATGTCTTCTACATTTCGATAGGTATAAATATACACAACAAAATTGCATTTATACTTCTCGGAAATCTTTAAAGATGTGGGCGCAGGACCCATTTTAAAATCGTTAGTGGGCGAGTGTGGGCGTTAGAGGGGGCGTGGCGCTCGGCTAAAATAAACTTGCGCTGCGTAGGAAGCCAAAGAATATGTGTGGGAAATCTCAACCTTCTAGCTTTTGTAGTTTCTGAGATCTCAGCGTTCATACAGACGGACAGACGGACAGACAGACAGACAGACAGACAGACAGACAGACAGACGGACAGACGGACATGGCTAGATCGACTCGGCTAGTGACCCTGATCAAGAATATATATACTTTATGGGGTCGGAAACGCTTCCTTCTAGCTGTTACATACTTTTGCACGAATCTAGTATACCCTTTTACTCTACGAGTAACGGGTATAAAAATATTATCTAAACCAGGAACCGTAAATAACCGTTTTTTGAGATTTTTATTTTAGAAGGCCTATTGAGATTTGTGCAAGTTTTAATCAACAATTTAACTGATTTTTATGCACTTTAAAGAACGTTATTTTTGACGTTTAAAACAAAATATCACAATAGTATTTTTGAAATAAAAATCTCAAATAACGATTATTTACGGTCCCTGATCTAAACGATAAAAGTTTGGTCGGTAGTTATTTATTATTTATTTATTTTAGCTTCTTCAAATTTCAAAGTCCTCTTCGGTTGGAGGATTTTTAAAGGCATATTCCACTCGACTTAGCGCCGCGACAGCCGGAAAGTTCTCCTTGCAAACGGCATAGTCCTGGAGGGCATTCAAGGTCTTTAAAGCCTCCTGGTTGCTGCTAATGGATAGTTCATCCTTCGATCCCTTTAGCTTCTTTTTCATAGTTTTCGGCTTCTGTACCTTCTTGGCATTCCCAGCCTTGCGTTTGATATTGAGGGGTTTCTTCCTAGGTTTGGATGGTTTAGCTTTGCCTTTGTTCGCCATCATTGTCTCGATCTCTTCCTCGTAATCAACTGCGCTCAGGTTATCCACCGATAGGGGATCATCTTTTGAAAAAGCTGACATCTTTTTAGTTACTTGGAATATATTACGTTCCAGTTCCTGTATTATCGGTCCAGCTAATGTCAATACCAAACAGTTCAATGACTATTTTCACCAGACTTCTTTGATATTACATCTGTCTGTCCGTCCGTATGAATGCTGAGATCTCGGAAACTACAAAAGCTAGAAAGTTGGGATTACCCATACATATTCTTGGACTTCCTACGAAGCGCAAGTTTTTTTCAGCCGAGCGCCACGCCCTCTTTAACGCCCACAATTGTCTTAAACGATTTTCAAAGCTGTCTGGAGCCCACACCTTTAAAGATTTCGGAAATGTAAAAATGCAGTTTTATTGTGTTTATCAAGACCTATCAAAATGTAGAAGAAGTTTTTCAAATCGGACCATTCGTTAAAAAGTTATGCTCTATCAAAGTTGTATATCTCCCTCGCACCCCCTTTAGCTGAGTAACGGGTATGTGATAGTCAGGGCACCCGACTATCTCTTGTTTATACCAATAACTAAAACTCACCGGAAACAGTGGAGCTCCGTTGACGCAGACACTCTCGGCGAATCGAACGCGACTAGGACGTGATCTCAGCTTGGCTCGCTTGCCGGCGGAAAGAAGCGTGGACTTCCTGCCCGGCATGACGCAGTGCGCCATGGGTTGGCACACGAAGAGATTGACCTGCGACTCACAGGCTCGCACCAGCTGGATGACATGATCCCGCGGAGCATCCTTCACATCCTCACCGTTCACCGCCAGGATCTGATCGCCCGGCTGCAGTTTTCCGATACTCGGACCGCCCTCCGTGACAAATCTCACAATCACTGGACGTTCACTCCCGGCCACGAATCCGAATCCCAGGCTGGCATTCCTTTGCAGTTGAACGTGTCGTGGTTCTGGGGGATGCTCATCCCAGCGTATGCACTCGGGTGCCTCGTAGGTGGTCGTTTTGTTGAGGTGGCTAATTAAAAGGGATACGTTTAATATATAATATTGGTCGCTTTAAGAAATACCCACTTGATATAGTAGGAACGACCCTTGGAGTCTATGGCACGCTCCCAGCCATATGAGAGCTCCTCGTGTTTGCTCCAATCCTCGACGGCAGGCAGCCAGCCAGCGGATTGCGTCATGTGACTAAAAAAAGATATTAAAACATATTCTTAATATTTTATCATATAAGAAAATACCTAAAATATTTTATAGAGTACATTTCATATGTTTGGTTAAACATTCTTTCATATTAAATAGCAAATATTTTCTTTAGCCATTCCAGTCAGTAATTTAATTGGCCAAATATTGACTTTTGAATGGGAATGTGTCAATAGAACTCTGTTATTACCGTTGATGATTACTACTCACTCAGCTGACAGCTGCAATTTGTAACCCAATACAGAGGAAAAGTATCTTGTATCTGAGCTTATTACGAACCACAGAATGCAGTCCTTTGACAGCAATCTGATAAATAAGTTGTCATTGTAAAATTAAAAACCATTCAAAATTACATTTACAATTTACATTCAATTTTTGAGTAGCCACTTATTTACATTCGTTATGGAATGATTTGTGGTCACATCCTCTACTTAGCTAGTGCAAATATTTTACAATATTTCTATTTATAAATCATGCAAGAGCCCTCGCCCACTTGCACTTGACACTCCACCCACATTGACCCTGAACTTGTGGTCAACTCTTGGCCTCCCACCTCCACTTCCGCTGGCCAACCCATTGGCATCCAGGCTAAGCACAACAGCAAATGTCTATTTGTCCCTGTGGGTGAGCTAGAAATGCATTTCAATTGACATTAATCAGAGCTAATTGGGTTATTTGCTCGACTTTGCAATAAACAGCAGCCCATAATCGGGGCCGCAGAACTAAAACTAAACCTAGCCCCAATCCACACCCCATTCGAAGTGAACTACAGTTGAACTTTTATAGAATGAACCAAGCTAAATCAAGGATTAATCGATCAGAAGGAAACTACAGTAACAGAAATGCTAATTCAAATATATTTAAATGTTTTTACAGTATTATAATATTTTATTAATATTTTATGTTTCTAAATAAATAGGAATAAAATTGTGGGAACAATTCAGATAAGGATTAAATAAGTTATTCCCAAACAGCTTTTAATAATATAAAAATTATAAAAATGAAAATTACAGAAGCTCGACTGTGGAACCCAAGCCAGATCCCGAACCCCAGAACGAAACCCCAGCCAAATCCAATTGCAGCCCACATCAGCCACCTTGGTGGCTTCCGTTGCTGTCTTTCTTCATTTCCTGACTGCACACAATTGTGATAATTAGTTTTGCACTTTTGCACACTCTCGGCGAGCAGAGGACGATGGGGTGCGAAGGGGGAATGTGTTTGGGTTTGGGATTGGGAATGGGTATGGGTGCTCTGCTCACTCATTCAGTCTATCGCCCCAGTGGCAGTCCCACATCCATGGAACCGCCTCCCTTGCCCAACCCAAACCTCCCCGGTTATGGCATTTTGTGCGCTTTCAGTTTGATGTGCAACAAAGTGTAAAATTATTTAATAGAATTTTGTGCATAATCAATTTATGTGCAGCAGAGAGCCCCGCATTCAGTCGCCCATTCAGCGTTCTCAGCCATCTAACCGGGCCAGGACCAAAGTCTGTCCGTCGGTCTGCGGGTCTATGGGTCTGCCAGTCTGCCAGTCTGCCAGTCCGTCAGTGGGACAGGCATAGAAATGCTGAAACTTTGGCCATGCTAATGGCTAAATAAATGCCCGACTTTCTGCTTTGTTAAATATTCCCTTTTGTGCGTAGCGAGCGCAAAGAAGTTGCGGGGTTATTAAAGTGGTTCTCTGAAAAACCGCAAACGAAAGTTTGCCGCAAATAATAAATGTTGCGATAATAAATGTCGAAAATAGTTATTTTTAAGTTGAACTATTGAAAGTGAGCCCTTAAACCTTAAATTCTTTGAATTTCCTATTTTCACAGGCGCAAAAACAAAACCACACTTAAAGAGGCTTGACTTCTTCAGCCTTAAAGGATTCCTAATTGGCAAGGGCCATAAATCATTTAACATTTCTCTAAACTTCTGAAAGGATTCCTAATTGGCAATGAAAATAAATCTATGTTGCCCAGCAGTAATTTTAAAGTGTGTGAAAAGTTTATTAGTTGGTCCCTTATGTTGAAAATAGTTATGTTATGTCCAAATGACAGTTGTTTAAATTTATAAAACTTGAAGCTGACTTTTGTGTTAATCCAAACTCTTACACATTTTATAATATTTATAATATTATTTCCTTAGTAAATCATACTTACTTGCAGTAGTAGAGCCTGCCCTCCTTGCCCACATGAACACTCCAGCCGGGCTTGAGCTTTTCCTGTATGGCCTCCAAGTGTCCATCAATTTCTGGCCAGTTTTCGGCCATGCCAGCGATAACACTCGCATGACTTTGACCCAAAAGTGGTCCGTAGATTCCATTTCCAATCCCGATGCCAAGCTCCGAGGTTGTTGTCGCCTCCACGGCGGTGGTTGCTGCAGATGTGGCTATTGTTGTTGCCAATGTCGCCGGGATTCCGGAGGATTGGGGCGGCAGCGGACATCCGTTGGAGCGGGTGGGCGTGGCATGGACAACGGAGCCATTTGTTGTCGGCAGCGTTGTCAATTGAGGCGATGATGTTCGTGTCAGTAGCAAGGGTTTGGGCCTGGCTGTGGCTCCTCCTGCTCCTCCTCCTCCAGTTGATACTACTCCTCCGGTCGATGATGTTGCTGTGTTGTTGGCGGCATTTTGTAGCGGATAGACATCACTATTCGAACGCCCCGAAGGCAGTAACATCATTGAAACACATTCGCTGCAAGAAGGAGAAGAAGAGAAGCAGAGGGGATATAAGTCAAGTTGTTGTCGAGCCATTTTCACACATTGTTCGGGCCACAAATCACATTCCATTCCATTCCATGACCAACGACCACGACGAAGACCAAGACGACCCACTTTGTCCGCAAACAGGCTCCTCCATAATTCAACATCCAGCTAACAGACTGAAGACAGACCATTGGCATTGCCTTTTCTGCTCGAGTCTGGACAGAAAAAAAAAAGAAACAGGTCCCCCATAACAGATATCCCCATTACCATGGCCATCATCATCATCATCGTGATCATCGGCTTTGGTGGGATAGGTTCAGGTTTTAGGCCAACTTGTTTTTAATGTTATGACACAATTTTCGAATTTGCTTTTACTGTTTGGTTTCGTTCTCTCTTTTTGCATATGTTTTCCTCCTTTATTTGGCAATCGTGCAAACATGGACTCGCCATGGCTTAGGGAACTGGTTCCGAAATGAGATCAAATAGTTGGCATGGCTGGGGAAATGGAGCTCTTGGGTGATGGATCAAAGTGATAAGGAAATGGAAAAGCGATCGAAGTTTTAGAAAATAATTAAATGTAAGGGAAGTATTTATACTACTTAATATTAATTTAATAAGTTTTTGATAAAAAGGATTAACATTATATTCAGTTTCATAAACCAAATGTTATGTAAATATTTTTCCCAGACTGAAATAAATTTCAAACAATCCATTTTGGTCAAATCCATTCAGGCATTGCCACAGAATTGATCAATCCCGCCCACATTATTTACACTGCCCAAACTCTTCAATAATATCAAATAGCATTTGCATAATGTTTAGATTTCAACGCCACCGACAGCATTTCGGCTTTTGGCTCTGACATGGTTCGGTAAATGGCTTGAAAAAATATTTTTTACAATTTATTCCGCACCGGAAGAGCAGCAGGAAGAGAAGTGCAGGGATAGATCACAGATACGCCTGCCAGACGGTGTGCAAGTTAAAAGTGTGGGTGCGAGTGCCAATGGCCGATAGTGCGGCTAGTTGGATGGGTTTGAACAACAAGCCGCCAACAAGAAGAGGGGCAAAATGGATGTGTTTGTTTGCTTGCGCAATTTCACTCGATGGCTTGGCTGGCGGAAACGGGCCGAAACGGATGGGGAGTCCAAGTGGAGTGGCGTACGGATAGATGCGACTTCAAAAAACTAGATACGACAGAACCTGGCCAAACAAAGAGACATCCATTAGGCGAGGAGAGTCGACTTTGGTCGAGTTGAGTTGAGATGAGTCCACGATGGAAATGGAAAAAGGAGCAGCCGGGAAGCTCATCATGCTTCGTGATAATGACAGGGAGTTAGGAAAGAAGTTGGTTCTCCACAGGCAAAAATAATGATTTTTATGAAAATAACGAATAGCCTTGGATAGTAATTAAAAATTAAAAAATAAAAATTAAAAATTAAAAATTTGCGAATAAATTTATGGAATCAACAAAAGCTTTTAGCCTGGACACCCACAAACTTTTTAAGAAAATGACTTCAGTTTACTAAGCTAACCAAAATGTATTTAAAGAAATAAAGAAGATTATAAGAATTAAAAAAGCCAATTTTATTTTAAATATATAAGTAAGGACAATATATTTCAAATTAATATAAAGACAGGAAAAGGAAATCCGAGAAAAATGTCAGCACAAATATATTTATAAATGTTAAAAAAATAACATAGACATCCTGTTTTGGATTCTAAATGTAATTTTTTAACCTTTTTAAATATATTTAAATAACAGATTATATTTAATGACAAATTTTGAACCCATTTTGCTCAGTGCCCAGCCAGGCGAGTAACGGCTTGGCAAACAACGAACGGCAACCGGCCAGCGACATGGTCAAGTTCCTTCTCCGTCTTCTCATGTGTGTTTTTCTCCATTCTTCCTATGTGGTGCAAAAGTTTTATAAACAACTTCACAGACACACACTCAAACACTAAAAACTGGAACACTTGAACAATGTTTTGAATTACATATTTTCTTTGTTTGGGAGTGGACCAAATAGACAAGTGCAAAAATGTTCACAAAGTTGTTCATTCGTTCTTTTTTTTTGTTTTTGCCATCTCTCGTTTTTTTCTTTCTGGGTTAGGAATGCTCGACTACGGAATGTTGATTTGACTCGAGACAGGAACTTGCCAAGCAGTTGAACGGGCTGCCAAAAAGGATACTTGGAAAAATATTTTCTTTTAAATTAAATATTTCTGAAATATTTTATTGGGAGTGGAGATCTTTACAATAAAAATTCTAATAAATTGAACATAGAAACTATAAGGAATCTGGAAAACCATTTTCTTTACAATTAAATATTTATGAAATATTTTATTGGAACTAGAGATCCTAAAAATGCAAATTCTAGTCTTATGGATCACAGAAAAAATATGCTCAGTACGACTGTACACAAACGAAAAGCAATTTAAAAAGATCACACATTCCCTTCGCACCCCCCGAAAGTGCCCACAAAAATGGGTAAGAATTTCAGTTACCATGTTCAGAACTCTTAACTGTGCAAACATTTTCGCTATCGTCAGAAGCTTTTCACATCCAATCCAAGTGTAACCGATACGAAATACGAAAGCGGTTCCAGCTCGGGGTGCCCATACATTTGGACACCAAGACCAAACACAAAAGTTGTCAAGAAAGAATGGTGGGTCGTTTGGAGTGGGGTGGCTATCAGGAAGGGGAGGTGGGGGTGAGGGGAGGACAGGAAGAGGGGCCAATGGAAACGGGAGCGACACTTCCAGCGAATGATTTGTGTCAACAGAGAGAAAAGGCAGCTGAGAAATGTTTATGCACGTGGCGGTGTGAGTGTGAGTATCTATGTGCGATGGATGACGTCGGGGCAATGACAGAGATCAGTAAATGGAAACCACACATAGCACACACAGTGGCGGGCAAAATAATAGGAATCACTACTTTTATAATGGTTTTTAGAATCAATAATTTATGAAAATAAAAAATCGACAATAGTTTTTTTATGACCTAACAGTAATTTATAAGCGTTTTTAAACTATTTAGGTATTTCTAACTAAAATAAACTAGACTTTAGAATTCTAAAAAATGAATACTTGGTAAATATCTCAATTTAAGCTAAAGTTAAAGTTAAATTATGTACAATATTTTTTATATAATTTGTATTTTAATTGCTGTTGGTACTCATTACTGATATCTCTTTGAAAATATGTTGTAGAAAGATATTAAAAGACAATGTAATGGTTTAAATACTCTAAGAAATAATAAGCGTTTATCAAAAGTTATCAGTCAGCCAAAGTTTGTCCGAACCGAAAAACAATTTTAGCAAACAAAGCAATAACAAGCGTTTTGCATAAACTTTCAGATATGAAAACACTCAAAAAAGTCCACTTAGAGTTGTAATTCTCACAGATAATTGCATAAAGCTGGGGATAACATCTTGATTGCTATTATTTTGTCAGCCAGTGTCCGTGCCACGGACAATTGTAAAATGTCAGTGCGGAAATTGTGCGAGGCAATGAAAAGAAATAAATGAAAAGACAGCAGAAGTCTGATGATGGGCGATAACAAAAAGAGCAGCATCAAGAACGAAAATGTTGACCAACAGTAACAAATAAAAAAAATAATAACAAACAAGCGCTGAAAAACAAAGTTAAGCTCTGCAAATTGTCCCAGTTCCGAGGGCTTAAATGAAAGGTGGATTGTTATTGCTATATTCCCCCCTGCCCCCGCCCTGTCTGCCATCCAGAAACCTCCTCCTCGGCGAAGGAGGAAATTCTCCTTTGTGAGAGAAATTAAACACAGTTTGTGAATGCATTTGTTATTTGTATTAAAGACTCCAGCAATTTGTAGCTCTTACAGCAGCCCAGTTTTCCAACCAGCCCTCCCCTCTTTTGCTGCTTTTGCTTTTACCAATTTTGCTCCGTTTCGTTATTGTTAATTGAAAAGAAATTACGGCGGCACAATGGAATAAAATTGCTTGACGTTATTTATTTTGCCGACGCTGTCGCTCATTTCAATTACATTTAACACAAAGTAAAAGTAAAATAAATGTGCCTGTGCATATTTAAAAAATACGTCCACGTACTGTAGAGGCAAATGTGTATGAATGGCTGATTTCAAAGTAATAGCTTTGTTAAATGGTAGTTAAATATTAAGATGATTAAAATTTAAATTTCACGGTCAATTTATATTTTTCCTATACCAATTAAACTTACTTGACAATGAAAAATATAGTTTAATGTTTATGGTTATAATTTAATTATATGCAAAATACTTTAAAATTCAGTATATTTTTGAAAATTTTAATAATCTAAGTACAGTATAGGAAATGTGTGATATGTAATTCTATAACTTAAAAACAAAATTAAAGCCGAACCTTAAACAAAAAATCAACCCAAACACCCCGTAGGAATAAGCATGTGCCAGCCATTTAGTTAGATCGTTATAAATACTCGTGCGATTGTGTGCGTGGCCATATCCATATCCATATCCATATAGACACGGCACCCATAACTACCCAGGCATCGATATATCGGGATATCGCTGCCGTCGGTTGTGGTTGAACGTGATTCTCGAAATGTCACGCACACACGGCAAAATGAAATGAAAGAAAAGCAACAGCGGTATATCAATTTGTTTTATTTTTTCCGTTTTTTTTTATGTGGGAGGTTGGGGCGGTACATTCATGGAAACGCTTTCGCTTTAGACCAGCCACCGATAACATCCATTCATAAAACTTGGCAACCTCTGGCTTGGCAACGTGGAACTGATAAAGCGCGAACATCTAGATAGTTTTCATGAAAAATCCAACCATGAAATGCAAGCAAACATTGCTGATCTTCTACGTGAGATTGCATAAGAATTAGAAACTTGGAAAACTTAATTACAGCTATTATCTCATGGGTTGGTATTATAAAATTAAATCATCTACCAAGTGAACTATTTTTTGGTTAAATGAATTTCAGTTCCTATTACTTGTGTTTAGCTTTCATTAT